AACCCATCGCGCGCGCGCGAGAGCGAGAGAGAGAGAGAGAGAGAGAGAGAGAGAGGGGGAGCGATCGCTTTATTAAAAGTTCCAGATGCCGCCACCCGATCGACGATTCGCCCGCTGAAACTTTCTAAACCCGATATATCCATGGATTTTCCCGGCGAACGGAGAAACAAGAAGAAGATCTTTCTGCTCGTTGATTTCGCGAGCTCGTCGATAGAAATGTCTCGGCCGTGTTGTTTGATAAAGTTGCAGCCTTCCTGCCAAATCGAACAACCGACGTTGAAACGCGCGGCCCGAATCGAAACGCTGCCGGTATCGAAAAATTCCATAGGAAATTCCAACGATAGTTTCCTACCGGAGAAAAAGCAGTACGATCATCGCATAATTGGCGAAACAGTCGACGCGAAGCGTTAGCGCTATATCGTCGAGTACGGTGGGAATCACTGGCGGTGATTCGAAAGCGAAATCAGTTGGAAATTCCGGGGAAAACACGCGGGAACAGTGGCCGATATTTTATCATGGACGTCCGAAATTGGTAGCAGCGGAGTCCGCGCTATCACGGGACAATAAATCGAATTCCGGGCTCGCGGTGCGTGTTAATTCGTCGCGGCGCAACGGCGAGCAACGGCGAGCAACGGCGAGCAACGGCGAGCACGGCTCCGCGTTCCGAAAACACTCGACTGATTTATCGGGCAAATAATTCGGCCGTTCATCGCGCTACGCCGGCGGTTCGTTAATAATTTCTCTGCGGCGAGTACGATACAGCGGGACGGGCGGAACCGAGTCGGAAAAGGAACGAGAGCTTCGGACGAGGGCCGAAATTCGATTCGCGCGGCAGATACCCGCGGACAAAGACAACTCGCGATCTCAACCTCGCGATCGTTCGTTCGAAACTCGACCGGATACGAATTCGTTTATGAACTACCGTGGATTTATCGGTAGCAATTTATCGGTTAGCGATTCGTATTTCTATTCGACCGCCGGGCAGTGCGTTTCGTCGGTATCCGTATAAACGCCAACATCGTCCGCGTTACGTTTCGCAAAGAATATTTTATCCGTGTATCTCTCGAATCTCCAGGTAGTATAATCTCGTCGAATAGATTTCTTCTGAAAATAACAACGTTACGATGATTATTCGATAATCGAACTATCCGATAGGCAAACGTCGAGGGAAGGATCGGCGACCGGCAGGCTTTATCCTCGTAATTCGTAGCTAACCGGTGTTTCTTATGACGCCTGTTTCACGGTTGTCGGACGCGTGCGGTTCGATAACGAGCCGCCGCAATTGCAAGCTGCACGGGCTACGAGCAAGAGCTGCGAGCAAGAGCTGCGAGCAAGAGCTGCGAGCAAGAGCTGCGAGCGCGGGCACCGATCGAATACCCGATACCCTCGATTACGGCCGCCTTCTAATGGTCCATGGTCACTCGTAGCTCACCTTCGACCTTCGTTATTGCGGGATCCTTACTCTCGACGTAAATTATGAGCCAGGCTCACCGGTGTCGGAAAAGGAATCTTATTTAGAAATTTCCTTCGGAACACGCCAATTACGCAACCCGGTCTATCTCCGCGCAAACATCAAATTTGTCTGCTGCAATTTATTAGGAAAAAATTCGTTCCTTTTACTTTTACTTACTAAGATATTTCGTTTAGTTTCGATTCAAAGAAAACACTGCAAGGATAGGTTCATTCGGCGTCCACTCTCGGGCTTCTTTTCATTCGAGGAGAACGTAATTCAACTTCGTGTACAGGTGCATCCTCGAGGTTTCGAATTTCCATTGCGCGGGTTCCTTGACCCGCTCGACGGGCCGGCGGCTCGGCTGCCCGGCCGCCCGGCTGATCGATAGATTTATTTCGAAGTTGTTACACCGAGATGTTACTGGCCGTTGATCCTCGCACGCCTGCGACTCCTACGAGTCCTGCATCGGTGTAAACGGAGCAGCGGATACGCGCGATGCAGACGTTGCGGAATGCGGCATGCGGCGCGTCGCAGAGCCGTACGCGATCCCTGCTGTTCGTTAATTCGCGTTCGCGATTCGCGAATCTGTATCCGATGCGTCAATGATAACTTGAAAAACTAGTACTCGCGTACGCGTGATAGTCGGAAAAATCCGAAATCGAGACAGACATTTCCTTCTCGATGTGATCGAGCGAAGCGTAGGTACGCTCGAAAGTTGATCGCCGTCGCGATACTAAACGACCGGCATGGCGATAAATAACTGCGTAATCGGTGTAGAATTAACAAGCATAAAACTGTCCGCGGCTCTCGTGATCTGCAATTAAGGATTGTGTCATTGAGCGGGGATGGTGCGAGAGGGAGGGAGGGAGGGAGGGAGGGAGGGTGCGCGTTAAATTCACCCCATAAATAATTCATACGGCGAAGGTTGCACGCGGCGATACACCGGCCATTATGTGGACGAACCAGGTGAGGGGTTGCGCCGATCAATTATGAATATTCAGCGCAGTTCGCACATCGTATGTTGCGAAACTGTCCGGCATTAATCCGTCCGGTGCACGCGATGGTGCGCGCGTGCGCAAGTACGCGCGCTTTCCGGGACCCCATCGGAACCGAACCACCTTCTTCCGGGACGGAGAAATGGGCCAGGTTTCGGTTCATTTATGTTTTCAGAAATTATTTGTCTTTCTCTACTTCCGGCGAGTAAGATAGAGGTTTCGATGAAAAAACTATTCCGGTATCGGGCGGCAACGCATTTTGAACTATCGCGTAATAGAATGTTTCGGTGGAACGAAAGCTACGGATGTTGTCCGGAAAAAACCGCAACTCGAAGACATAAATGGTCGGACGGTAATCTGGTTCGGTCTGCATTTCCGTTTTAATGCATCGGTCCTGCGGTATCGCGAACCACGCGATTTTTCTTTGAACCGGACCATCCGAACGGGCTTGCGTAATTAACGGCGCCGATCGTGCAACCTCGTAGAACTGTGTCTTCTACCTTTAATATCCTCCTCCTCCTCTATGATGATTTTAGTTTATTTTCCAATTATATTACACTCGTACGCGTACAGGTGGTATCGGTGAAAATAATGATACTTATTCTCGACGACGTTACGACTCTTGAGAGGAAGTCGGACGCGTCCGAATTTCAATTTCCGTCAAAGTTTCGGCGATACACGACGTGTAAAGAGGAATTACTCGGAGCATGCCGAGAGCGGGCGTGCATCGTCCCTCGCGAGGCTCCGCGCCACCGTTCCGTCTAACGGCTGAATTCCAAATGATACAGTCGTATCGCTGCAACGGAGCTTCTTCTTCGGAAAAGCCAATTATTTCCATTGCCGCCGGATAATAAGAACGATGAAATCGTTTGGTCGTTTCAGGCGTGCAAAGGACCCTTCACGTGCTGCACAACTCCGAGCAACCGGCCTCGGTGTTCGCGATCCTCGAGTCCGGAAATAAAGTGGTGCCGCTGATAGCGGACGGCCTGTTCGACCTGCTCATGTACAAGATGTCCAGCATCTACACGAACAAAATGCAGAAGATGGAGTCGAAGGGGCCGCGGTTCGAGATCGGCGATTTCTGCGTGAAGCTCGGCAGCGTCACCATCAATCAGAATTTCAAAGGTGTTCTGGTCGAAGTAAGTTACCACTCGACCAACTATCGAACGCGCGAACGTTCGATTGACCGTTCTTCGATTGTTTTCAACCGGAACCAAGAGAGCAGAGGCACTGGTCGGTCCCTTCCGCGTGCGCTAGCAATCAATAGCCCGCGGCGCGCATCGTGTCGATCGATACGACGACGACGACGACGACGACGACGACGACGACGACGAGTCCCGCAACAGCCACGACGTATCCGGAAGCGGCCGGCTGAAATCTATTTTCCTCGGATTTGATCGTCGGTTAACGCGGCGGCCGTTTCGCTCCGTTTCGCTCCGTTTCCGAGGGTTCGCGCGGACGAGTCGCTGTACCTCGTAACGAGTTGCACGAAAATCCCCCCGGGCCAGACATCTGCCGCGATTATTCGTTCGACCGATTATCTTTGCTCCGTCCACCCCTCGCGAACCCTCGGCGAAGAGAAAAGTTTGCGCGCGTTTGAAAAGTTGCAGACACCCAGGCCGGAACTGCGATTTAAAACGGAACAGATGCCTGGTTCCCCCTTATCCCCGCAGCCTAGAACCTCGCGTCGCGACGCGTATTTCTTTCTTTCGGATCGGCAACGAAAGAAACGTTCCTCTTCTGCGTTCCGCGAGCTTAGACCCGCGAGCGAATTGTTGCCGGTGCGAGCGCTATTACAGCGGCAATGGCCGACAAGGACTTCCGTTCTACCGAGGCTCGGAGCTGTTCGTGTCGGAGGAATGTGCCGGGCTACGTGGCCTCCAAGCGATCCGTCGGCCATTCGTATCGGTAACGGCGCTGTTTGTACCCTCCCACGACGTCGAATACGTTACGATAAACCCCCGGTTCCCCCATTCATTTCACCGGAGAAATACTACGGCGTCGGGGTCCGCCGACTGCCTTTAACTCACGGTCTGCCTTGAACTCGGTGTCCGCTCCGTTTCTCCGTAGAGAAGAAAAACGACGCGACGCTGCGTTGCGAGGGAACGCGAGGTAACACCGAACTGTCATCCCCTGTTCGAATTAATAGAAAGAAGCCGCGCGTTCCCATAAAACAGCTTTTATCGGCGTACCGTTCGGAAACCGTTTACTCGTACGAACGGGCGTAAAGGGAATAGGATCGCAAATATCTCGCTAATAGTCTGTTTCGGTTTCCGAAATTCGGTAAATTCGGTAAATTCGGTAAATTCGGTAAATTAGGTGCGGTTTACTCGCGCTCGCGAAACTTCTCGCCGGCACGAAAGATCCAAGCGGAAGGGGTCGCGCAAGATCGGTACGCTCGCGAGGAGCTTCTCGGGACGCGACGTTTATGCAACCGTTGAAAAGCCGGCGGTCCAGATCGAAGCGATAGCTGATCCTTCTTGGCACCGACCGGCCCAAAGATCTTGATCAGCGGGGAAAACCAACTGAAAGAGCGACGCGTCGTTTCGTCGGTCTATCCTTTCGTGGATTTATCGTGATCGGAACGTAGCACGTATTTTCCGTAGTTTCCGCAGTTTCCGCAGTTTCCGCAGTTTCGCGTGTGTCGACTAAACTTCGCGTGCCATATTCGCAAATATTCCTCTCTCGAATCGGCACGAATGCACCGGGAAAACCAGTCGGAAACTTTCCATTGTTTGAACTGAAAATATGCACTTGTCGGTTTCTATGTACCGATCCTGTTAACAGGATACGCGGCACGGCAAATGCCTGTAACGGATTTAACGTTCGCGGAAGGACGCCGAGGAACGCGTTGTTTGATCGAAACGAGAAACGACAGTCGAATAATGTTTAATAACCGAGGCGTTATTTGCCATAGACGGTTTATATCCGGCAAGGTTCCCTTCTTTCATGGAAAGAATAAAGCGCAACGCTCGAGAGAACGCACACCGATATACACCCATTCTCATTTGTTTCTTCCTCTCGTTTTCATTCTGGTCAGCCAATGATCCGGCAAAAGTGCCATTTCCGAGCCGAGCGTTGCGCAAAGAGCGTTTGTCTACATGTCCGCCATTCTTCGGCCGTCTCGCGTCGAAATAAAAGGGAGGAAACGTTTTACCGCTATAATATTCTTCCTTAATTGAACTCCATTATCGTTCGTTTATTATGATACGTTGTTGCCTTTAATGTTTTCCGCAGGTTGAATACAGACCCTGCGTTGTTCCCGGAAGTTCGTGGGAGTTGATGCGGGAATTCTTGCAGGGTTTCCTTGGACCCACAGTGTCCAATCAAGCGCCGCAATATTTGCAGGTAATCGTTTCATCGTAGTCGATTCGTTTAAAGTTTTCTAGCAGTCGTTTTTTAAAGATTTCTATAATTGTTGCGCCTCTAGAACCGGATGAACGATATTTATCAGCCGTTGGACACCATACAACAATATTTGGAACATTTCGGTCAGTACAGAAAGGCCACGGGCGTGATTTAAGCTAATACCGACTCAGTGTACGTAATATCGAATCGAAAATATTATTTGACAACGATTCGAACATTCTAAACTATCCACTTCGGATCATTAAACTATCCACCTTCGATGTACGTGTGCGACTTTGAATCGATGGCGACATCTGTACCAGATGCGATACACTTTCCCACCGAGTTTACGTTGGTAATTCTTTATTCGAGCGATGCATCTTATCGATAAAAAAGCAATCTGCATACTACACCGATAAACATTCCAACGTTGATGTGTTTCAAAGTCTTGGATTCTTGGATTATTTGCATTTTACCGTTGCCTTTTACTGTTGTCGCAGAGTATAAATCTGTAATGTATACGTATGTACATGTATGTATCTATACGTGTAGCTCTGTGAAATTCACCTTTAAGTCTTTCTCACCGTGAATCTGTTTGCACTGGAAATGTGAATAATTTTAGAAACGAATGACACCGCAGATATGCAATTACGTTAACCCTGCGTATCGGGTTAATTATGAAACGGGTCCACTTTATATGGAAACGTGTTGAAACGGGTTACCGTGTGTGCGCGTACAAACGATCTAAATACGCGTAATCGGAATCTATGAAGTTGTCGGAAAAATACCAACCGCTTGAACAGATTCAAAAATATATATCTTCTCTTTTCATGTATTATATTCTTCAACTGTTTTCGTGCGTACAACCTTCGAACGAGGCTGAAATAAAGAGCATTATAGTCCTGAATCTCGTGTAGTTCTACTCCGAACTTACATAAACTACGATACAAGATACTATGTAATTGTAATCTATGAATCTGTCTCTTGGAAAATGTAAATCAGCATGAATATATCCGGTACTCGGTAATGAGCGTTCAAAGTCTGGAATCGTTTATGTTTATGTAGCGTTTTAACCGAACGAGAGACGCTCCGCGATCCCGTCGTGTCTGAATCTAACAATCGAGAGAATCGAAACAATTTCATTGGTCGCTCGAAGATATTTCTGCAATCGTACGATCGGACGATTACAGCGCCGCGTTCTGCCGCAAGCCGTGATCGTTGGCGCAGTATTACAGTACGCTCGAAGCGTGGTCATCGCGAGTCGGTTTTTCGTCGTTGAACTGCCACGTATCGAACAAATTTCGAGCAATAATGGAGGTATTTATCAACGAAATATCTATTATTCCTTACAACAAACTATTTCCCTTAAAAACCGGTTTTCGTAATCAAGTACTTCTATTGTTTTTTAGATTCAAATATTGACTGCAAAGTCATCCAAGTTCGTGGCCAATGTGTCCGTAAGTAGTAAACATCTAATGACAAAGTCCAACAGGAAATGATCAGGTTGCATCCGATGTAGAGCTTTTACAGTTAACTTACGATTACTGTTCACGTAGAAGATATTTACAAGCTGTACCTCGAGTAGTTTTAATTTATGTACAGTGGAATAACTCTCTTCGGACGGTTGTGAAAATAACTTTTCACAACTCAAATTGTATAGAGTTGTTCGTAAAACTGTGCTCTACTTTAAATTTCCGATAAGATGGTTTTACCATAAATTTCCATATTGATGTATCTTTTGCGAGTTGACGTATTATTTCATTTATACATTCAGGTAAAGCCAACTACTACCATTAAAGAAGTTAAGGAAGAGTTACATAAGTTAAAGAAAGCACCGCACGTTCATAGACAAAGCTTGAGACTAGATCCGAAAGGGAAAGCTGTAGCAGATTCGGACACGCTGCAAAGTTTGTCCATTGGCGACGGTGGGAAGTTATATTTAAAAGATCTTGGACCGCAAATCAGTTGGAAATCTGTATTCCTCGTGGAATACGCCGGTCCCTTAGTCTTATACTTGTGGATATACAATCGCCCGTGGATATTTTATGGCGATGTCGTAACATCCAAGGTCGACGAAACTGTAAAGTAAGTCTATTTAACGCGCGTAGTAGAATTTAATGATAAATCTCTGAACGTATAAAACTTTAGCGTTGCAGCTATTTGTTGGACCATACATTACGCCAAGAGGCTACTGGAAACATTGTTCGTGCACCGATTTAGCCACGCGACGATGCCGTTGCGCAATCTTTTCAAAAATTCCTCTTACTATTGGTTGTTCGCCGCGTACGTGGCCTACCATGTAAACCACCCACTGTACACGCCACCTAACAAACTGAAATTCAACGTGGGAGTAGTAATGTTTGCGCTGTGCGAACTGGGCAACCTGAGCATTCATTTAGCTTTAAGGAATTTGAGACCAGCAGGATCTACAGTGAGGAAGATACCTGTAGCTACTTCGAATCCATTCACGTTCCTATTTAATCTGGTTTCGTGTCCAAACTATACTTACGAAGTTGGCAGTTGGATCGGTTTCACCATCATGACCTCTTGTCTTCCAGGTACGAACGTAGATTCTAGTTTGTCGAGAGGAGAGTAACGTACAAGATTATACTATAATTGTTCGTTTCAGCTGGTTTGTTCACTCTCGCGGGTGCGTATCAGATGACTGTCTGGGCATTAGGAAAGCATAAGGCGTACAAGAAAGAATTTCCCAACTATCCGAAAAACAGGAAATCCATCTTTCCATTTTTGCTCTAAATACTTGGCAGTAATATCAATTTAGGGACGTGTAACATTGGTAATTATATTAGCCTCGTATTTCTAAGATCTCTGGATTTTGTTACTTATATTTTTATTATTATTTGAATAAATAATTTACATGGGAATCGTTGTTCTACCGTACTTGTATACGTCGATTTATTTATAATGTATCGTTTCAAAATAGACGAATCTGTTAGCTAAAAGTTCGATTTAATTATTTTCTCCTCGCAGGGTAACTTGTTTATCAATTTGAGCATATCATCCTTCAGCGCGTCTATGATATCGTGACACTCCCGCATCTCGACTTTGTAGTTGTTCCGCAACTGTTCGTACCCGTAGCATGCATTCTGAAACTTCTGTTTCGCTTCCGAAGGTGTAATCTCTTTACCGGTCAGACCGAGGAGACATTCCATGTGCAGTATATGTTTCCTCGCGTCTTTCAGCTGTTCCCTCAAAGCGTTCAGTTCGGTGATCAACGCGATATTCTCCTCTATCGTTTTATCCATCTGCTGACCTATGCCGGGTTTATCTCGGAAAACTTGCTTTCTGAGAGAAGCTATCGTCCTTTCCAGATGATCCCTCTGCTTGGCGAACTCGCATTGAGCGTCAAAGTCTGCTTTACGACTGCGCAAAAAATCGTCGCTGGCACTGTACTTGTGATACAATTTGGTTACGGCGTTCTTCAACGCCTGCGGCTGCTGCACAAGCCCGGACGCGTCCAACAAGTCGACGCGAATCCTTTTCAAGAGTCGCCGACACCTTTTGCCCGTGTGCGTCTCGCGTTGCAGTTCGCGCCTCGCGGCTGCCAGTTTCTCCCTCAATTCGTGCAACTGTAATTCCAAACTGACGTTGGTTTTATGGAGATTTACCAGCTCCGTCTCCATGTCCCGTATCTTGTCCTTGAGCTCGATGATCTCTTGATCCCGCGGTTCTATCTGGTTCTTCAGCTCGGTTATCTTATAATTGAGCACGAACTTGAACTTCTCCAACTCCTGGTTCGAACGTTTCAGCTCGTATATCTGGCTTTCTCTGTCCTGAATCGTCAGATCTCTCTCGTCGATCTCTTGCTTCAGCTCCTGCTTGTTCTTCTCGAGTTCCCGAATGAACGTCTGAAAGTAACTGTACTCGCTCTGAACGCGTTGCACTTGCCTCTTCAACTCCTGCACAGATTTCTCGCTGACTATGTATTTGTTCCGTATCATTCCAGCTTCTCCTTTCAGCTTCAAGTTGAGCTCTTTCTGTTCGCGCAACAAGTTCTCGTAATTCGTCCTTAACTCGAGTATCTCTTGATCCGCGTCGTCCTCTATCCGCGCCGCGATCTTTTCGTGGATCCTCGCCTGATGCGTCATTTCGTCTTGCGTTTCTTCCAGTTGCAATTTCCCCTGGTGCAACAGGGCCTCGTATTTCGCCGTGGCGCTCTCCAGCTGATCCCCTTTGAGTTTCTCGAGTTCCTCGAGCCGTTTCTCGTAATCTTGTCGCGTGGCGTTCAGGTGGTTCTCCAGTTGCAAGTACTTGTCGTACTCTGCGATCAGTTTCGCGTCGTAGCCGACTTCCAGCCGCTTGATCGTCTCCTTCTGATCCTTCCTCATGGTGTCTATCTCCGCGTTGATTATGTTCAGCTCGTTCCTGTGATCCTCTTTCAGCTTGCCGATCTTATCCCGGAGCTCCTCGATCGCTTCGCAGTAGCCTTTGTGCAGATCCCGCACCTTGTCGTTGTGCTGCAGCTCGATTTGCCGCGTCTTGTACGCGAGCTCGGTCTCGCGTTCCCTCATTCTGACGTTCAGGTCCTGTACGGTCTGTATTTTCTCGAGCAAGTCGCCTTTGCCGATCAACACTTCGTTCGTGTACTTTGCTTCTTTGCCCGTCTTTCCCTTCCCCTCGGCATCGTACAGTTTCCAGATACATAAACTACCGTCGATTCCCGTCGACACTAAGTACTGCTGATTGTACGAAAGTGCGATCTGCAAAAGCGTAACAGCACCGCGTCACATGCGAACGTTCAAACCAGTCCTATAAAGCGAATATCGTGGTATTATGCTAAACGTAAACCGTCGAACGCTATCTCCGGTTGCGACTCGCTCCCGGTATTTCTGTACCTTCGTAACATGGACGGAATGAACGTTGAATTCCGAATAGACTACCGGCTCTTGAAGAGGGTATTTCACCGATAAGATGTTCCCGCCGGCGCAAACCACGAATAAGACCTGATCCTGTTTCCCTAACACCATATTGCTCATGCTCGTCCCTGGAATATTGTATTCCCGGGCTACCTGAAAAACAATGTTCCACGCTGTACCGTACGATCGGAGAAGGAGAACGGAGGTACTTTCCGTGAATGAATTACCGCGTTTTCCTTGATCTCGCGTACGAAGCTGTCATCTCCGATACAGTACGCGACCTGTTCGTCAGCGGACAGGGCGATATCGTGCAAACTCGAGTTCTTCAGAATGACCTCCGCCGTACGTGCGCCAGTATTGATATCCCACTGATATATGGCGCCCTCGCTTCCCAACGTGAGCAATTTCGTGTCCGTTCGCGACCACAGTAAAGCTTTCACTCTGCTGGTGTGTCCTTTTAAAATCGAATGATGGGCAAAGTCGACGGTCGTGTAAACTTGCACGATATTTTCGTTGACGGCGGCAAACGAGTGCCCGCCGTGACTGAAAGTTACGGTCTTGCAGCATCTTATGGGAAATTCTTCCATGGTTAATAAGTCGTCTATCAGTATAGAGAGGAAGCGTAGCTTGTCGCTGAAGCCGACTAAACAGAACAATCCAGTGGGATGCAAGGAAAGCCCGCAGATACGTTCCGTGTATTGTTTGCACAAAATCAAATTTCCCGACTCAAAGTCCCACAGCCTCGCGCTGTGATCGAGCTCTCCGCAAGTCATGAAGATCGATTTCCAAGCGCACATCGACAAACTACCGATAGGCCCGTAATGCAACGCTTGGCCCATGATCTCCAATTCCTGCGGTTCGGGATCCGCGCTCAGGTCCGGACCCCACAATGCCGCTTGAAACAATTGGGGCCAACCGGTGGTCACCGCTAAATGATCGAAGCTGATGTTGACGCTTATGCTATTGACTCGATACAAATCGTAACGATCGTGCTCCGATGATTGCGCGGGAACCGCGTAGACGTTCCTTTTCACGTATTTATGGTAACCTTCTCTCTCGAAGAGGACGACCGTTCCGAAGCCGTGAGCGAACGCGAACCCCTTCGGGAAAGCGGTTAGGCAGCGAACGTTGTTCGGCCATTCGGCATTCTCTTTGGCGTCCGTCAACGAGCCGGTCGTTTGTACAACGTACTCTTCGCGTATTCGAAGATTCATAGAAGCGGTCTCGCTGGCTTTGTAAATGTTTTTCAAGTCGCCGTTCTCCAAATAAAGTATTCTACCATCTTTGGTCCCGAGCAACAGTCTGTCAGAGTTCAGCCAACACATGGAGCACGCGAGTATATTGTCCGCTTTCGAGAATCCGTACGGTCGCCAAACGGTCTCGGACAGGCTCAACAGCTTGAAGACGCGCGAACCCCCAACCGCGACTACTCCTACATCGGACGGATTACAAGCTAATAACTCGACGGTCGCCGAGTTAGGCGGTGTTTGCTGAGTGCCTACTTTGATCTTCGACTCCAGTTTGCCCCTCTCCCAATTGTAGTAGAGCATCTTCTGGTCGGGCTCCCCCGTCACCGCTGCCAGGTACTTGTTGTCGAAACTGAACCCGGCGCAGGTGAATTTAGTGACCTCGGGTGCCTCGTAGGGAATGCCGAGCACCTTCCGCCTCTTCAGCGTCTGAACGTCGTATACGGATATGGTGGGTCTTTCTCCGACCTCGCAAGTTGCCACGTATTTCCTGAAACGTACAGAGTCAGAGATTTTCTGCCGAATAACGCTATCGAATCGGATCAGACGTACTTATTAGGGGTAACGGAAATAATGTTTATCTCACGTTTATCGGGCAAACGTAACAATCGTTGGCGACCTTGCGGAATCTGATGAAGCGATATTACGTTACCGGCAGGATATAAGATTTCCGCGTCCGAAATGTAATGAGCGTTCGAGATTATGTCAGTCTTTAAACCGTAAAATATTCTGGCTTGCAACGAAGCCGGCATCTTCGGCAGTTTATTTCTTTTCCCGCTAACCGATAAAACGACGGTCCGCGAGGATCTCTGTGCGACGTGTTGTTACGCGTCGCTGACATTACCATGGTAACGAATCTTTCGGACTGATGATCGATAATGAAAGCATAAACGTTACTTTGCACCTTTCTCGTCAATCGTGCGAATAATTATCGAAGAAGCGAACCTTGGATTTCTATTTATCGTTCGTCGAGACCTCTCTTGAGACCGTGTACAGTGTAAAAATAAATGTATGAAATATCGAAAGAATGGAAAAGGAGAGGAATTAAAAAGTATATATTTATTAAAGCGATATAAAAAGTTATAAAATGAAAATAGTTTTTGTCGTTTACCCGTAGAAAACCCACAGTCGATAAATTGTAAAATATGAGTTTTCGGCTGAGCTGCCATCTGATCGAAATACATGGAACTACATAGTTATGAGAATTTTTTCTGTAAAAGCACCGTCGGTAATAAGAGTTGTCGGTGTTACCGTTAGTCGGTACTGAAGGTACTGTAGAACAGCTCGCATGAAATGCCAATAGACGAGACGTCTGTAGAGATCGTAAGTCTGTGACTACGCTATATTAGATTTGGGTGTACTCGTAGTGTTCGCAGGCCTGCTTCGCGTATTTCATCGAAGTGTAAATCAAATGTGAGATTTCGATTATTTCTTCGGATTATTATATAAAAGTGTTCGCTTATAGATATCCTTTTTTCCACGAAATATACAATTTACACCATGAAAAGGTATTTAATAGAGCAACTTTGGAATCTATATTATATATTTTATTGTAACCAATTCACATTGATTGGCTGGTATTCTTAGTATATGAGTTACAGATTCTTTTAACACATTTGAAGGATCATGCAAAAATCAAGTTACATATCGAGTATAAATTAATGATTTTATAATAAAAGTGGGAGCATAAATTCAACGATTCGCACTTATTATTTATTTCACTTGCTTGGTCGTAAACTTTTGAAAAATCGATTTAAATTGTATCGCCTACGCCTACAGGTACTGGTTTGTAATTACTGCTATTGAAAATATTATCGTTGCGATATAATTATAGAAAAAAATGACGTATCGATGCAACTAAAGTACGCACATTCAATTTTATACGTTTTCTTGTAACACGTACTTAGGTGGCTCGTCGAAAATTCCATTAACATTAGTCGAAATGGAATTCGTTTGTTTAACCGCTTTTCAATGGTTTTCTCGTAATAAATTCTAATTAACCCTTCTTCTTACTGTAAGATACTAAACGTTAGAATGGGAGAAAGTCACTGGAAGGATTGGAGGCCTTTCGTTTATGGAGGGATAGCTTCGATTATCGCAGAATTAGGTAAAAACCATTAGATTCTACAATGCATAGTAAAATCCATTTTTTATGTTTATCGTATTCATGAAAACGTTTCTCGTTAGGTACCTTCCCTTTAGATACAACCAAGACTCGTTTACAAATTCAAGGGCAGAAATTAGACAAGAAACATTCTCATTTAAGATATTCCGGTATGACGGATGCTCTGGTACAGATATCGAAACAAGAAGGATTTAAAGCTTTATATTCTGGGTAAGCATGATCGAACGATTATAAAATTTACAATATTATCCGTTGTTAGCAACATATTTTATTATACAGAATTAGTTCGGCTATTCTAAGGCAAGCCACTTATGGAACTATCAAATTTGGCACCTATTATTCGTTAAAGCAAACAGCCATGGATAAATGGAAAACAGATGATTTAGTTGTTATAAATATTGTATGTGCCGCATTAGCAGGTGCTATATCAAGCGCGATAGCTAATCCCACCGATGTAGTAAAAGTTCGCATGCAATCCGGTTCCGATCCAAATTTATCGTTGTACGGTTGTTTTAAAGATGTATATCAACACGAAGGTATACATGGTTTATGGAGGGTACGTGGAGCATTTATATTGAATATTTGCCAGGAAAATATTTTCTACTAATACTTTTCTGTATAGGGTGTAGGACCCACTGCGCAAAGGGCAGCAATTATAGCTGCTGTAGAATTACCTATATACGACTATAGTAAAAATAAACTAATGGCTCTTCTGGAAGACAGTGTTACTAATCATTTTCTGTAAGTAAGTTATGCTAACATATGCGGTAATGTTAATACTAATTTATTAATTGTACTCGACGTTCACTGGTTTCAAGTATTCGTAAATTTCATTTACCTCCAAATTTATTGTATAATATTTCAATTCTAATATTAATTAACCCTTATCCGGGCTGTTTGCATCTTGTAATATGTTCAATATTATAATAATACTATTCTACTAACATTAATGATATTATTAATGTAAAAATCATTTGAAACATTCTTTTACAGTATGTGATGTCATGTGAGTATATCTAAAGAAATTAAGTTAAATTTACATTTTAGTTTACAATGTTCTCAATAACAATGTATTGTTTATCGTTTGTGGTATTATTGTTTACTCTTTTTTTCCTTAAAAAAAGTGGTAATACTCTATAGAAAAGAATTTAGGCCCAGAAATAGTACCTAACTTCATTAAATGCTGTGTTGGTGATCAATTTTTGTGGAAAGGAAGTAATATTTTTCTAAAACTGAAAAATTTTATTTCCAGGTTCTTTCACACTGTCGTGTACATGGACACATGCAGTACATGGATATTGAGATGACTCCAGAGAAACAAAATGGAAGTCACGTTTGACATTCCTGTTTCATATGACATTCATTGAAACTGTTATCCAGATGACTAAACATCTTGAATTACTTCACGAACATTGTTTTGGTTAGCATTTGTCAATCAAATTAACTTTAAATTTCTTCGTCGTTAAATTCTTTGCTTAATATTTCTTAATATTTCTTAAATTTACTGTTACATTCACTCGACTTTTATCAAGTTTTCTATCATTTTACTTGGAAATTTTGCTCTATCTAAAAATGAGAAACAAAATTTTCTGTATAAATAACTTTTCCTTACTGCATTAGACATCGCAATTCGATTTTAATAAACAATGCCTGGATAAGGGTTGCACTAAACGATTACAAAGATGGAATAAGAATTAGGATTTTCTTAAATAGTTCGTAATATTCATTTAAATGTACATTAATACATCTAAGATTGAAATTTGATATAGGATATAAAATTTACCATTGTGTTCATAAATATACGTATACATAATCAATGTATGTACATTTTAGGTCCAGTTTCATAGCAAGTATGGGAAGTGCAGTAGCTTCTACTCCTATAGACGTTGTTCGTGTAAGTATATTACAATCCTTCGTCGTCGAAATATTTTAAATAGGTAATCATGTTATTGTAGACGCGTTTAATGAATCAAAGGAGGCCTCATATTTACAGTGGAAGTATAGACTGTTTTGTTCAGGTAAGTAATTACATATCAACTAGAGATTTCGTCTGTACTTACGGAATTAGTATAAAATTCATTTCTTTTTATAGACATTTAAAAACGAAGGATTTCTAGCGTTATACAAAGGTTTTATACCTACATGGTTTAGAATGGGCCCATGGAACATTATATTTTTTATAACTTACGAACAATTGAAACACCTGGACCAATCGCATTGATCGCTAAATAGATAAAGCAAAAGGAGTATGTATGTGTGTGCGTGTATGCGTATGTTCGTGTAGATATACTAAATTTTGAAAATAACAGAAAGTAACTTAATTTTTTGTGTTTACAAACTTTATTTGTATAAGCGTTAGAATATTTATACTTAAATATATGAAAGTAATTACAAACAAAGAAATTACACAAAAAGAAAGTAGCTGGATTTTTATCAATAGAGGTAAAAACCTAACCAATGAAAGTGAATTAAAAATATAAATGTACTTGATAAAAAGACTATGTATGTTCTTCCTAGTATCTCAATAATACTAGTCAACATTTGAATCTCTAGTGATGGAAATAGCGAATGTATATTGTGTTTGCATTTCATATTTCAGTTTTCATATTTCCAGTACTTACAGATTGTACGAATTTTCTACTGTGTACGTTTCGATTGAATTTTTTTATAAAACCTTCGAGAACAAGTAAAAAGTACACAAAAGCACACGTTGCACTGATACATATGCACTATTTAATGTGTACCACTTTATTGGAGAATAATCTTTACAATGAAATGCACGATTTACAAGGAAAGTAGCATATTAAATGGAACACGTTACGATTAAAATTTTAACAAGTTGTCAGGAATACGCAACAGTACAAAATAAAACTTATTAAAATCTTACAACTTGCACAACATAATTAGATTATCAACCAACATTATCACTATTTATCCATTGAATATTGTATGATTGTTTCAAATGTAATTTATCTATTATATTGTTTCCATGTTAAACGTTTTCAATGTAATATTCACAGTCAACCTTGTGGACAAACGTTTCAACCGTAACAAGTATTATATGAAAATCATAACATTTTGCAATCCCATACAATTATTTTTCTGTCCTTCCCACCAGTTAAAATTACATTATTTTCCGCAGATACTGCTAATGCATGAATTGGTCCTGGAAATAATGTTTCAATTGTTTAAGAAAACAAGTTAATTTAAACAAAATTATTGTACAATGTAAAGAAATATAAGTGAAATATATTTTACCATCATGACAGTGTACTTGTGAAATAAATATCGCATCTGGATGATGCCATATATTAATATTTCCATTGCTATCTCCTACCAATAAAAATATTCCCAACCACGATAATGTTAAAGGTTCATATTCTATGGTTGTACGATAAATCTGTGTACTTGTATGGACATCAATTATATTCAATACTTTATCTTCCGCGCATGATATCACGCTTTTACTTTCTTGATCAAAAATCATCGCGTTTATTTTACTGGTATGTCCTGTACAAAAAGTCCCATATTTACATGTTACAAAAATAAGAAAAATTCATTTTTCTCTTTCTTTTGTACCTTTCACGGTAAACTGTAAATTATAAGTATCCAGATTCCACAGAAAAATTTCTCCATCTTCTGTACCAGATGCCAATAACGTGTCATCCCTATAAAAATTCTCGTAATTACTGTTCCGTCTGTCAATTTCTTACATACTAAATATTTTTATAAATTATATATTAGATAAAAGATTTTACTTTGAGATATTGATACAAGTCACTTTAGAGTCGTGATCTAACTGTGCAATAAGGTATTCTGCTGGTTTTATTTTTTTCCCAGAAATATAACTTTGCCAAACTTTCGCCGTACAGTCCCACGAACCAGATATAATAATCCGACGAGAAGGACTTATAGTTAAACAAGAAACTGCATCTTCATGTCCTGGCAATATATCTATTACTCTACCGAATTCAACGTCGTAAAATATCCTGAAAATTAAATACAATCATCTGACGGAATAGTTCTAACTGTCGGTAAGCAAATATCAATATTTATGTTTAATGCTTACAATGAATTATCCCAAGAGCCCACAACTAATATATTACGACGAGAGGTCGGGTAGTATGATATGCAAGAAGAAAGTGGTAGCATCGATAAAGCTACGCTACGCGTTAACTTTTTCGTTTTTATACTGTACAATTTAAGGTTCCCATCTTGCCCCACTGACGCGACTTCATCAATTTTTTCCGCGTTCATCACTATTATACTGCTTACACTTTCTTTATGAGATTGGAATGTCATTAATTGACGCAATTCAAACGCCTTCTCACCGAGACTTTCATTTCCTGGAAGAAATTGTAATTCTTTTTATTTGATAAATAAATAACAGTAAAATGCAGCATACCTGCCCCACATTTAGAAGACATTAAAACAGTTTCACCGTATAATTTATCCATCAGTGAAACAGAACGTTTAGGATGAGGCAAAGTAAATATTTGTTTCGGTATTTGACCGAATTCCATAATTTGTACTTCTAAGCCATGCCTGTCGTTGGCATCTCGAATAGTATCCAAATCTACAGCTCCCTCATAGCATAAATGAAAGAACACTGTAATAAAGCAGTAAAGCGGTAAAACGGGGGGAGGGCGGTAAAACAGTTCTGAATTTAAATATTAATTTACCATTGTCTGCTTTCACAGCTTCAGTTCCCCTTTGTTTGTACCCGAATATTAAATCGATCCAATGATGAAGATTTTCGGATACATAATCACTTTCTAATGCGTTTCTTAATATTTGTACAAAATGTGCTGGTCCTAAAATATCACGATAATTGTTCCATGTAACCGTTAATTCAAATTTAAATGTACAATATACCTTTTGCCCATGGTGGTAATTCTACATCTCCTATTTTTGTACCATTGTAACGATAGCCAAAATCGATGCTATAACTATTCACTAAAAAATCACCACCATTGTTTGTGTCATAAAACTCCGGGACCAGTTCTTTAAAGTCAGACATGTTCACCAAAACATTTTTCCATACGTCAGCTACACTGTTAGGTGTTTTTGTTGGTAAGAGTGAAACAAAAAATCGATTCTGCAGAGTCGACAGAGTCATTATGTACTTTTACAGTGTAAGAAGTGATTACCATTAAATTTTGCCTTGTCTGTGCGATACAAAATTACATTCATATACATTTATTAAAACTTCGCTTTAAATTTAGTACAAAACGTAATCCTTCAGTATTTAGATAATTGAATCCTTAAGTGTTCGATATTATTGCGATATGCGTATTTTATAAAAGATACATACCTATTGAACATTCTATCTGGGTGATCAAATCTGCCGTTTTGTAGACACAACATATACTGTGGGTACTTTCGTACTAAATAAAATAATACAAAGCCAGGTGCACTGTAATGCGAACCATATAAAAACTTTGGTTCCGACATTTCCGTGTATCGTTCCTAAAATTAAGTTACCCTTATCTTCTTCTTTGCCTACATAAACAATTTCAAAATAGTTACATACCTTTAATCTTTCTAATCTGTCAGAGTCGAGTGCGCCGACAGGTTTAGAAAGATCTCTGTATACATTAGAATCATTTAAGTCCAATGTAGAGGATATATAGTCTTGTATTATCCATGGCATTACAGGATATTGAGTTAGATCATGGAAAGTTCTATCTGCTAAACTGGAAAAATGTATTTATTACAAAATGTGACAAAACAAGCTATTATCTTAACACTCTTGTATAAAAATTACCTGTTAATGTACAAGAGATAATCATAATTTGATAAAGAACCGTTTTGCCATCTCATAGTCATCTGGTCCTGAGGTATTCTTTCTAAAGACACTGTTGGTTGATTTAATAAACTTGTGTAAAGTTCATCCCTATCATTTTGATTTTTCAATGATACAAACAAATGTTCTACTTTATTTTCTGGTTGCCTTGTCCACTTAATTTCGAGTCCCTATAATACGTAAAATGATACACATCAAAGACAGTGATTACATATGCAAACATTCAGAATCAATACTTACAACTTGTCTTAAGAGAAATCTTCTCTTTATAATATTAACAATATCCTTCAGTTGTATTTTTAGAACTGGATGCTGAAGATATAAAATTGATACTTCAGTGACCTGCATAAATATTTATTGCAACTATTACAGAGCTACATACTTGATCCAAGTTGTTGTAAGGTTGGAAATAAATTCTAGAAGTTGTTAAAAGTATTCTTCCTGGATTTATGACAAGCGGTAGTACTTTATTTGCTTGAGTTTCTAATACGACCTGTTCATACAGATCCTCTAACCAGGATGTGTCGAAAGAGACTCTGGATTGTCTGGAGTGCACGATAGCCATAATCTATAAAACAATAATGTATTAGTTACTCTAATTTTTAATACAAAATAATGGAAATAATAATTATTGAATACACCATAGCATTTTGTTCTGCAGTTGGTAATGTAGCAGCTCTAAGCAATTGCAAAATTTGTGGAAGACAATCTTCTATTTTTGCGTAGTTAAAGTAAAAATATAAAGTTACATGTTTGTGAATAAACTTATATGGTGCGAGTATATTTTTCTCCAACATTTCCACATATTGCTTACATTGGACCGATAATACATTGCTGTGTCTTATAAACAAAAAGAAGAAAATATGTTTACACATGTTATATCTTTTCATAAGTTAATAAATAGATACCTACTTTGATATGCTGCTATTAGAATCGCATTGATCAACAGCTATAACTTCCTTTAGTTGTATTTTTATTAAAGGTTGATTAATGTCTTTATTTGTAAACACTAAAGACTTTGAACATAATTTTAATCTTCCATCTATCCATTTTTGCTCCTCCAAAGAAGAAGCATCGAGCATTTTCATCAGAACGCTATAATCTTCAAAAAATATCTCTCCTGGCTCCAAAAGGAGCATTGTGAATCTAACGTAAATTGCATTACATTAATCTATATATTAACAATTAATCGTACCGTATACACAAATTTATGATGTATATTCATAAACTCTGATCAAATATTAATTTCGCATTGTCATTTTATACTCGTATGTAAACTGCATTAAATGAATAATATACATATAAATTGTCAAAACAAAGGATACATACCTCTCTTTTTCCATTGCTTTGAATTCAAATATAAATTATAATTAATCATCAACATTACATGTGATTCGAATAAATAATGTCTCTCCGTATTAAAACTTACGTTATCATGCCTCAGTAATATGTTTAAGCATAATATAAACTTTATTGTAGGTTAACGACGGAATGAATCATCGCGTATATAAGTGCGTATGTAGGTACATATATATACCTACGCACATATACGATCTATTAAAAGGAATTCTGCTTGTAAAATGTGTAAGAGAAAAAAATTAGATTTTCCTTGTTCGATATATTTTTGTGCACAATATTTTATTATGCATTAATTTTAATATATTATTTCCCTCGAAAAATACATCTATGTAAGATGATCATCGAGAGGAAGAAATATTCCTTCACCGATAACTTCATTGCAGAAATGTAAATTTATGTTTTTTATGAACGTACTATTAAAAAACGAAGAATAAAAAATATTTCGTTTTTCTTTATTAATAGCGTCAATATACTGAAAATTAAATGAAATGTTTTCAATTTTCATTGAACTTTTCAGTTCATAATTTTTTTTTCTTAATTTTGATACACAATAAAATTATAAATATCCATAGTCTACCAATAACTTTTGCTTTTAAGTATCAGTCCCGTTTCCAGCATAACATTCACAGGATTCTTTGTATAAGATATAAGTCTAACGATAGAAGAATTCTTCTTTTTTACCCATGGTCCGATGAAAATAATTTTCGACTTACACTTGTCATATTAAAAATATAAAACATGTATATGCGAAAACATCTTTCGTTGATGTAACGTGTAGAATCAATCCTCCAAAGATATTCCACAGAAATACACGTGAGTTATGAAACCGTCTTTACATTCAGTTGAGACAGAAAAGTCGTTGATGGTTGAGTACCACTGACTTTTAAAGAGAAACAAGAAGAATCGAATACGTTCCGGTTCTCTTGATTCATTTCCAAATTACGCTTGTCATAGATACGAAAGACCAGAAATTTGCGAATAGGTTAATTGTAATTCCATATAGAAAAGCGTTTTCGTAATTGGAATTGAGTTCTTGTTCGATATTGTGAAAACTATCAACTACGATGGAGGAGTTGACGAGACATTTATCTAAAATAAGGATACCACAAAAGCACGATAAAATATATAAGGACGAGTGTGTTTATTCTTTCGACACTCCAGTAAGATGTCACATTTATTTAGTAATTAGTAGTCTGTAGACTCAATGTATCCGTTGTGTACGTTAGTATTTCAAATGCAATGTAACGGAAACTTCAAGGCCGGTTTAAACATTTTTTTTCTTTTATTTCTTATTTGAAATCAGACAAAATTTTCAATAAAAGCATTCATACAGATCTACAGTCTACTAATTAGAAATTGTAACATGACACTGATAGTAATGATTAGAATTGTCATTTCTTCTTTTAAAGGATAGTCCTACTGGGTTATATGTGAATCTTACTACCTTTTTGGGATTAGGTCAGGATCATATACAACGTTATTATCTCTTAACAAAAAATCCTGTATTTTTACATGTCAAACGAACTAAAAAGGAGGTGAGTTATCCGATGCTTGTGTTAAATGCTGATTCATTGTGCCAAGTATGATATTTCAAACAAAGCATGCATATATCTTTTATAGATACCGTCAGAACTTCAAGGAGATGGACCTGAGAAAAAAATTACGAGATTGGCTATAGGAACATCCGATGGATTTACACCAGATCAACAGAAATATATTTATCATCACTCTTATCAAATTGTTATTCTACCAAACTTTATAACAATACCTTATCCCACAGATAATTTACCAGAACAGGTATGTATCGTATTTTAAAGTAAAAGTACCTATGATACTGAATTTATTGTTATATAGGTTGAGCAAGCCATTAAATGTATATTAGAAGCTGAATCCGCAACCAAATTGGCTGAAGTGGAAGCACTGTCTGGAACTTGGGATGGAGAAATAAAAGCAGTTTCAAAGTAAGATTAGTGTAAAACAATTTTAGCCATTATCTCTATGTATAACTGTTAAATTTGTAGGCATGCCACAAATCTGAAACAATTAGACAATGGAAAAAAAATACCACCAGGTGGATGGAAATGCGAGAAATGTCATCTCACTCAAAATCTATGGCTTAACTTAACCGATGGCAGAATTCTTTGCGGACGTAAATTTTATGATGGAACAGGTGGAAACGATCATGCCCTTGAACATTATACGGCTACCGGTTATCCTTTGGCTGTAAAATTAGGAACTATAACTAAGGAAGGCAAAGCGGATGTGTATTCTTATGATGAAGACGATATGGTCGAAGATCCGCATTTAGTGCAACATTTAGCTCACTGGGGAATTAATATTACTCAAATGGAGAAAACTGACAAATCCATGGTAGAGCTTGAACTAGATCTTAATCAAAAGTTTGGTGAATGGGTTGCACTCCAAGAAGCAGCTAGTAAATTAACACCTTTGTATGGACCTGGATACACTGGACTTGCAAATTTGGGAAATTCTTGTTACTTAAATAGTGTTATGCAAATGTTATTTGTGATTCCAGATTTTGTTAAAAGGTTTGTAATTTACTTTCAACAAGCTGTTACTGTTAGTGTACATTTTTGATTAACACTTGTCAAGTGTGTTAGTATTAATACTTGAAACTGAATTTTAGATTCGTAGACGATGCACCACAGATATTTCAACAAAGTTACACTGATCCAGCAAATGATTTTAATGTTCAAATGTAAGTTTAAAAGAGTAAAAATAGTTTTGCAATCATAGAAGAAGAAGAAGAAGAAGAAGAAGAAGAAGAAGAAGAAGAAGAAGAAGAAGAAGAAGTTTCAAGTATTTACTGATAAGAATTGATATTTCAGGGCTAAGCTCGGAATTGGTTTACTTTCTGGTAAATATTCACTACCACCAAGTACAAATAATGAAGATGAATCGCGCCAGGGTATTCCACCTCGGATGTTTAAGACACTAGTTAGTCGTGGACATCCAGTGTTTTCTTCGAATCGGCAGCAAGATGCGCAAGAGTTCATTCTCCATATAATAAATGTCATAGATGTAATTAGTACTGAATTTTTACAATTCCTTGATAGTCGTAATCTTTCAAAGTTTGAATTATAATACTAATATCAGAAAATTGATTGAATAGCGTCACAGTCGCCATCAAACGAATCCCACCGACTGTTTCAAATTCAAAGTCGAGGAAAGGTACCAGTGCAGTAGTTCCAACAGAGTAAAATACACTTATCGACCGGAATA